AAGCCTCTGCGTTCACCCAGATCCTCTAAAGAATAGCTTGAAGGTACAGAAGCTATAACTCAAATCCACTAGCAACTTCTCAAGATAAAGCAGGGCAGGAAGCCAAGAATGTGGCTCTCTCCAAATCTCCCAATCTTCAGATGAGAAAACTAAGGCCAGAGAACAAATCAGCTTCTCCAAGACACTAAAGACAGAAAAATCTACTGGTTGCCAAACTGAGGTGACCTAAGCCAGGGCCATGGATTTGAGACCTTTCTGGTTACAGATACATTTTCGCTCATTTGTTTAAGCTTTAGTTAAAAACTCAAACTGAAAGGTTTACACATAATTTGTTGACTGGCGTCTTTGCAAAATCTTGGGTATCTGTCAACTATGGACACAAATTTTTGTTCATTGTTTAGAGCTGAGAAAAATAAATGGGAACAAGGTACTTAGGGACCACAGTTCTATGGACAACCTGTTGCTACAGGCCCTCAAGACCTAGAAATTTGTTATTCTTTCTCTTCATCATACTCAGCTAAGGATAAAAAAAACCATATATAAGGTATTATTAGATCTCATATACAGTCATCCTTTTGCTTCTTTGGGAGTGGTCTCTAGGATAGCTTTAGAATACAGAATCTCTGGACTTCCATACACCTTATATAAAATGGCACAATCTTTGCGTATAATCTATGCACATCCTTCTGCATCCTTTAAATCATCTTTAGTTGGTTTACAACAATACAATATCTAAGTGGTATATAAATATTTGTTACAATGAATTGTTTCAGAGGGAAATGACAAGACAATGAGTCTGCCAATGTTCAGGAGCAGATGCAACATCTCCCATCTGTGGTTGGTTGAATCCACGAATATGGAGCCACAGATACAGAGGTCCACATGTAATGTCTGTATTTGTTGGAGAAAAAACATGCATGTGACATGTAATACAAATGATACATGCAGGTATGTGTGTGTGTGTGCACGTTCATGTGTTGCAGAAAAGTTGGTTTTTAAGATCTGAAGGTGTATTTTAAAACCTAAAGAATATTTTAATAATGTCCTTAAAGACCAAGACTTGACAGCCTTCAGGAAAGGGAGTGTGAGCTAGCAAGAGACCTTCCATGAGCAAAGTAAGCAGCAAGCCAGCACTCAGCACAAGTAAGCTGGCTGGGAAGGTTTGCTGGTTCCCCAGCGCAAAGAGATTTACGAAGGGTAGTGAACCCACTGGACACACAGACCTGGTTCTGGTTTCAAAGTTCACACCCTGCTCCAAAGCATTTACCCAGCAGCCAGAAGGGTCATTTTCTCCACTGTTCTTGGAAAAGCCATCTCCTGTTTCCTTCCCCTGATCTCCAGTGCCTGTCTGCTCTGTCACTCATTCCACACAGGGCTCTCCACTCCCCAACTGCAGCCACATCTGTCTGCTTCCAAGTCTGGAATTCTGTGCTCTCCTGCCCAATGAGCATTTCCCTAGTGAGCTCCTCCCCATTCTTCTAGAGCTACAAATAACTGAGCCATCCATCTTTTATGTTCTGGCCGCACCATCTAAAGTGGCCTTCTTAGCTGCTAGCCCATCGCCCTGTGACTGTTGCTATCATTTAATCCTCTCTCAATTTTCCTTGTTTAATTAATATTGCGTGCTTAGCTACCAAATGTTGTAAGTTCCATGAGAATGGGGCTTCGCTGTCTTGTTCACAGCTCCTATCCACATAAGAAAACCAGGTCCAAAAAGTACCTAGCACCTGTTTAGCAGCTAGAAAATAAAACGTGTGCCTCCTGTCTGAGAGGTACTGTAAATCACTGGAATGGGAGGAGAAATCTCTCCATTAGCAAGATTTCAGCCCCTGGTAAGAACTGGAAAGAGGGAAGTCTACACCTCTTTGGTCTCCAAGTCTTTCAGGGACTATAGTTGACAGTGCAGAGAGAATTAACTCAATGGTGAAATCTTTATACTACACCCACTTAAGCTTCAAAATGCTCCACTGAGTGATACCGCTTTCATTTCCAAGCCACTCACTCGGTTTCTGTTCATTTTCAGAATCAAGGCTGAATCTACAGAGAGGCATTCAAGAAAAGTGCTTCAACGAGGTGTATGAACAGGGCTGGGTGCACGTGGGCATGGAGTCCTGAACTTCATTAGTAAAACATTGGTATAAAAGCGCTCCAAAACTCAAGAAGCTGCAAATAGAGCTTCTCCAATCCATGTGATGCTGGGAAGAGTGATTGTATGACACTTCGGAACTTCTGAGAGCTACCCAATGGCTCGTGAGCTCTGAGAGTAACAGGGAATGTGGGTCAATTAAAGCTACTTGAAAATGGAGCCCTGTGGCTCTAGAACTCCTCTTCAAAAAAGCCCCAGCTGCAGGCCCACTGGTGCTTGACCATCCTCAGATCCTGTGGTCTAAGCACCAGAGCAAGTGGCATTTATACATGAAAACAACAACAACAACAAAGCAAGCTTAGACTGCCACAAAGTAGCAACACACTCCCACGTGTATGTACCACAGAGACAGCGGCGAAATACACAGCAGTCTCTGCTGCGCTGTCACCCACTGTAACAAGATTGATCTGTAGTGAAATAAAAGATAATGCAATCTAGAGGAAATAACTTCTGTTTCCTCGGAGAATGTCTGATGTTGTCAGCTGTTAGCCCGCTTCTCTCGCCTGCCTGCCACGATGCAAGGCAGCACAAACCTGCAGGCACTGCTGTGGGCAGACAGGTCTCTCCCACTCACCGCCAGCAGCACACCTGGATGAGCAGCATCTCCCCTCTGCCTGCCAACTCCTTGGCCATGCCAGAGCAAGTAGAACCTGAATGCCAGGGTGTTTTCAGGAGGGCAGTGCACGGTGAGCTGCCATGATGGACTTGGGATACAGAAAATGACCCAGGTAGCACTGAATCATCTGAAACCCAGAAAATGACCCAGGTAGCACTGAATCATCTGAAGCCCCCTAGTTTTCAGCTTGTTTATTTCTAACCTCATTCACCATGCCCCTAGTTTCAGGTCAATGGTAGAAGAATTCTGGTGATTTGGACCACAGAAGGTCTTGTAGAGATTGTGTTATCAGATTCTGTCTATAAGACACAGGACACTGTGTCTTTGTCTCGCACGACCGTCACTTGACAGAACATTACACAGAGCGTTGTTTTCCCAGGCAGAATGGCCAGAAATGAAGGCAAGGAGAAGGTACCAAATGGGGAACCATTGGCCATCATTTCTGAAATGGGTCTCCATACAAAATGGTCCTCTCTAAGGTCAGGATATGAAAGTAATTCACCAAAGCAAGTTCAGTTCTCTCTATTCATACCCCTAGCAGTATCTTTTAGGGAGCTGCCACCCACCTTTGCACAGAGCCATGGGTAGCTATTGGCTTCCATCTCTGGCAGATGCTATTAAGTCTCAATAGCCGGTGATTTGTAGATGATTATAACTTTTGCTCTGAATATCATTGCTACTGACAGGCAAATCCCATCAATCAGATGGCAAGACCGATGAAAGAACAAGGCAGGCTTGACACAGGCAGCCACAGGCATTTTTTAATACTAATTATGGCCCCTAGGATGTTCGCTAGGTTGTCTAGAAAAGTCAGGCCTGATACAATAATGCTTCTCTTTTTAACCCTTCACCAGAAGCATCAGAACGCATATTCTAGAAAGACTTTCCCAGTTCAAGTATGTTGTGTTTTGAGGAAACAAATGCAATTCGCCATCAGGTGTGGCTTGTATTTCAGTTCATGGGGGGAAAAACAGTCTCCTCTCAGAGTGGCTCACTGAACCCCCAATTTGTTGAGACAAAACTCGCTGGGGCAGCAGGGCCTGACAGCGGCACGCTTACTACACCAACAGTCCCCGGCACCTTTTCCATTTTGCTCGTCTCTTAGTCTCTAGCCAAATGGAACTTATTACTTATAGCTTGTTGGGATGTATGAATTATTTATAAAACTAGGTCTATGACTCCAGACTTTTAAAAAGACCACACAACAGAGCCCTCATTGTTACCCACAACTGCATTTCTATCAGAGAGCAGATAGTCTCTGTAACAGGCGCGATCCATGTGTCGGGTGAAATCGCAGTTATGAAAATATCAAGCCTGTAAGAGGATTTGGGAGTTATTTATGGAATGCCTGGGTATATTTTTAAACTGGTCTCTTTTATTCTAAGCCAACTTTAGGTTTCCAGGAAGATGCAGCCAATGTATGCTCTAAACGTATCTCCCAGCTTGAATACAAACAGTGAAGACCTGACATGTCTATCCACCAGTTTTAAGCTAGGATGAAAAAGCAGTCTCCCCATCATATGTGTCAAGAAGGTTCGATGAAGCTGTGACCCCAAATTCAGATGAGGGGGGTGAAGGGCAGGGGAACACATCCTCAGTGGGATCTAAAACCTGGACTGGAAGACACCATGTGGAATCAGATTTGATTTCCAGTACTCCAAAACACATGCCCTTGGATGGGAAAACAAATGCCACTGCCTCTCCGTCCCGTGGCCCTGATTCACTCACAGATTCCACTGGACATGTTGTGAGACACACTTGCGTTAAAAGGTACAGAGCAGCCAGCCATGGCCTCACCACATCTCCGTGACAGAGATATATATTTTTTTTCTCACCAAAGACATGTCCCCTGGTACTGTCACAGCCGTAACTGAGCAGCAGCTCACCTTGATATGGTGTCTGGGATGAACAGAGGGCTTGTACCTGAGCTCTCCAGAGATACCTGCTTCTCGCCAGCCTCCCTGGTCTCCCAGGTCTCCCAGGTCCAGCATCCCTGCCCGCTACCTAGCACAGCCAAACGCCTGACGCCTTCTGTCCCTGTTCCATCTATTTCCCCCACATGTAACCTCTAGCCAGGGTTCAGAGGAAGAAGCAGAGGCCCAGGAAGTCTGACCGCATTTAAGGCCATTGTCATCACAGTATCCCCCTAAAGTCTATGCAACATTCCCAAAGAGGGCAAAGCCCCACAAGTCAAAGAGCACAGCCAATAGAAGAGCAGCAGGAATCAGTAAGACTTACCTTGTTGGAAAACATCTGCCAGGAGTGTGGAACAGCAGAGGAGAGAAGGGGGAGAAAAAGGGAAACACATCATTAGTGAGGATGAAAAGACAACATGATAACCAGCCAACATACATGGTCTTTGCAGTGCACTCTCTACACATAGTGCCCTTGAACTTGGGAGGCATGGTTGAACACTCAGGCTGTGGAAGGATACCAGCTGGGTCTGAATCCTGCCTCCACATTTGCAAACTCTGTGACGTGTGGTTTTCTAAACCACAGGCTAAGTGGGAGTCCTAGAGAGATTGAGCATTTTATCACACTTTTTAGGGCTCAGGCTGGGCCTGGCACATAGTAAACAGAAAAACTGGTGAGTAGCCTTAATATTTCTACGTGCACATTGAGACCTTATAAAATAGGTTGTATAATCATTCTTATTCTACAGACTGGGAAACTGAGTCACTAGAAAGCTAAATAAATCATCCAAGGGCACAGAGAAGAAAAAAGGAGCTCAGGATTGATATCAGGTCTGTCTGGTTCCAAAACCTATTTTCATACCCACTGCCTGATGGATTTATAAATAACCACAAATAACAATGGCATATAAGAGAACAGAAAAAGGACCTCTAAATATAGCTCTGTATTTAAATAATAGAAACAAAATGTGCATGCGTTCTTTACATTTCAACTCATGATTAATTATTAAGTGTGTCCTCGTAGTAAATCCTAGATCAAAGTCTGTTAGAAAGGTAGAAAATATGATTGCCTTTTTTCAAGAAATATTTGAGAGGTTAGTAGATGCCAATAGTTCTGTTTTTCACTATTAACAAATAAATAGCGCAAAAACCATAGATAAGCAGTCAGTTACATGCCCCTAAGAGTAACCACTCGCATGACCTTTCATTGACACCGTAAAAAAACATGTTGCCTGTATTTGGATTTTGCACACATTGACTAATAGAACAGACACCAAAATGGAACTGTCAAATCTATTTATCTACCTATGTGTGTGTACATGACTATATAAAGGGAGACTTGTGATAACACAATTATCTATCTACAGGAGGTGGAATTGGGGTTTTTAAAAATATTTTGTAAGATTTATGTATTATTTTAATTACTAATTAAAATCATGGCTTGAAGCCATCCTGGGCAGGAAAGTATGTGAAACTCTTACCTCCAATTAACCACTAAAAAGCTGGAAGTGGAGGTGTGGCTCAAGTGGTAGTGTGCCAGCTTGGAGAGAAAAAGCTAAAGGATAGCAAATGGGCTCCGAGTTCAAGCTCTAGTATGCACACACACACATACACCAAAGTTATTCCCATTTTACAAACTTAAGTATTCTATTATCAACATCTGATTTTGTTGTTAGTGGTCCCCTGAACCCCAACTCCCAAGGAAAACAATGAGCCAAGGGTCCATGAATGGTGCAGAGGAAATAGACACCAGTTTGCCACATTGCAAGAGGAAATCTATGAACGCAGATTTCATACCACCTCTTCTCCCACACCCAAGTAAGACAGTGGCTATGTAAATGGGACACAGTAATACCACTACAGGACAACCATGACCCTGCTTTAATTCATGCAGCCTTCCACGAGTTCTACATCCACAGATTCAGCTACAGATTGGAAATATTTTGAAAATTACATATGAACCTGGCACAGTGACTCAAGTCAATAATTCTAATTGTTGGAAGGTGGAGATTAGGGGGAATCACAGTTTAAGAACATTCTAGGCAAAGAAGATGAAAAAGATGAAGATGAAGACAGAAGAAAGAGGGGGAGGAGAGGAGACAGAGAAGAAAAAAGCAGAAGCAGCAGAAGCAGCAGAAGCAGCAGCAGAAGGAAGAAGAAGAACAACAACAACAACTTGGTTGTTGTTCACAAGACTCCATCTCTACCAGTGTCCAAGTGTGGTGGTGTGGTACACCTATTATCTCCAGCTAAGTGAAAAGCACAAATAGGAGGGTCAGAACCTAGGCTGGCACAGGTATAAAATCTATGGCCCAGGTATAAAAAAAATGGGGCCAGAGGCATGGCCCAAGTAGTAGACCATCTGTTTATCAAGATCAAGACCTTGAGATTAATCCTCAGGACCACTACCTCCCTCAAAAAATTGCATCAGCACTGAATATGTGAAGATTTCTTCTCTTGTCATTTTTCTCTAAGCAATATAGAATAACTTATTCACATAGCACTTACATTGCATTATGTATTACAAACTATGTAGATGTTATTTAAGACATACAGAAAGATATGCATACATTATATACCAATACTATGCCATTTGATAAATCAGCAGAGTTTGGAACCAATCACTCATAGATACCAAAGACCAATAGTACATGCTATACAATATAGCTTTGGTAATTCATCATTTGTACAAATTCTGACCCAGTAGTACGATAACACTCCTGAGATCAAGAGAAGGAATGTGGTCAGCTTTCTAAATAGAATAGTTTCACCAGTGTTTGCTTCCTGGACTCTGTAGTCTGAATTGCCCATTGTCTGACCAGCCTACATATCTTCAAATATTGGTCACCGTGAAGTCTGTCTCCAGAGAGAGGGAATTTACTATTCCCACCTCTGTGCTCCTAGAGTAATTTGTGTAGGTTGAAATTGATCATTAGTTATCTATATGAATTGTGAGTTATTTATATCAATTAGTTATTTATATAGAGCCTTGGAACAAGAACAATGTGTCTTGATCACATCCTTGGATCCTCACACGCTTGGCATGGTTCACTACCTCTAAGGAGGGAGAGAAAGAGGACCAGTCTGCCTCGGGCCTCCTCAGGCCCAACCCCTTCATTATATAGATAAGGAAACTGAGTTGCAGATAAATTGGAAGTATTTCCTAAGGTCACACATGGAGTTCAAGACTGAGTCAGGACTACATTCATTAACCTTAATGAAGCACAAAAGCTCATCACCCTTATTAGCAAAGAACAAATTAAAGATTTATCATTCGCCTCTAATGAAGAGAGACAGAAACGTCCAACCTTGAAAACATCAGGGAAATAAGATTAGTCTTTCAAATACAGATCCAGTCTAGACATCCATCTAGAATCTGCAACCTCCCCTGCATGATCTTGACAAGGAACACTTCCTTGGAAATTCAGTACTGGTTTGAATCATTGGAAAGCATCAGTGGGTAAGGAGGAAGGAAACGGAGGCAGGGATTCAATGACTTTATTCCTTCCAGTCCTATAGTACATTTCATATTAGCAGAAAAATTTGCAGAGAGTACTGTTCAGAATTTCTACTCTAAAAACTCTCTTGATGTTCATGGAAGCTATTTTAGAATTTTTAAAAAAAAAACCTCTCTCAGCCTTATTTACATTTTACACCTTTTTACTCAAATGTAAAGCTACATAAACGTAAGTATAAATATTGCAACAATTTTGCACATGAGGTGTCTTGTAATTTACACTCTAGATTTGTGGCTTTTGTCCTCTGTGGTATAAATTATTCCATTCTTAGCATCTTTTAGCTTTTCACTCTGTATAATAATGGCTTGGGGTACCTTCTTTAACATTTCACTTTTCCCGTGAAATGAGCTACTCAGGCTCAGGACCAAATGATTTATGGGCCGAAGAATGGAACATAGTTGATAAGGTAGTTTCTGTGTAGTGTAGACATTCCCACCCTCAGAACCATATGCTCCAGAAGGATTAGAAGCCACCTCCACTCTGGTCCTCATGTCCATCACCACCTCCCAATCCATCAGAAGTCACCATTTGTAAAATCCAAATCCGAATGTGATATTGTTCTTTCAGCATAACGAATCACAATCCTTCTGAACTGGCATTTCCTTTATTGCCAACTTAGGCCTAGTTGAAACCTTTAGCCTTCCTGTTGGGAAAGTTAAGTACTTTACATGAACATTTTTCCCTCTTGCTATGGTGATTCATGCTAAGGATAAACCAGTGTCATCTTTCCACCCTTACAAGGGCCAGCAACCAAAGTCCAGAGCTGAGAGCAGTGAATGACTACTACTGCAAGCCACAATCAGGTTGAGCCCAAAGGACCAGCAAGGGCACTTGTGCAGAGGAAATGAACTCCTTGAGACAAAGCTGTGCTCAGACTCACTTCCCAAGGGAGGAAACCTCAATCTCTATCGTTCAAGTGAACAAAGAAAGCCTGTTTCCCAGCCCTGACCCCGAGCCCCTGGAGCCCTTCTGGTCCTAGAGAGAGATGAAAGGCCATGTGTAAGATGGTCATTCAATGTGGGAAGACGAAAACAAGGAACGAAGAGCTCAGATTTGCCTTTCTCAGTCACCATGTCCCATTTATTCCATTAGAAATGAGCATGGAGGCAATGTGCCCCTCCCCCACGGCTACTGAGAGATTCACACCCTAGAGATCTTTAATGCACCGAGTCCTCCAGAGAATGGGCCATAAAAAGACTAGATTATTTATTATTATTAATAAGTTATGGCAATTAGGCTGGGTGATTCCTAAACGTTGCTGATTAAAAACTTTCTTGAGTGCTGCTTATCCACATGGCTAGTGTTTACCTCGATTAAAAATGATTTAACTACACTCAGGGTGAACCCCTGCCTTGTGCCTGGGTTAATAATTAGCAGTGCACAGAGCCACTCGGGTTAAGTGAGTTGGCTCTCCTTTATTTATCTATTGCTTTGTTTTATGAGGAGAAGTGGATGGCAGTCTTACTGCCTATTCAGTCTGCTAGGAGTAATTTACTATTCCAATCCACAGTCCATAACTATGGTGAGAGAACCCTTCATTGTTATTACAATAGCACACTTAGCACACACCCCATAGCATTCAAGATATGCCAAACACAGAAAGTGTGCTTGGCTTCCCAAAGACTGGGGGAGGTAAAGTTACTAGTTCTCAAACAATGTAATCACACTACTCTCTCAATTTTGCTTTCTTTTCTAGGTTAAATTATATATGAGGAGAGTTTAGTTTCTTGAAAATGCATGCACTTAACTCCCATTTAAGAAGTCTCACCTGGGGAGACAGCTGTCTTACGAGTCCTCCTGTGGTTTGAGCTGCAAAAAGAAA